TGATTTTGAGACAGAGCCACCTTTATTTTTTCAGCGATGCTCGATGTGAGCGGTTTTGAGTTCTGGACCATCTGGTATTGTGGGCGATAATATGAGATCGCCTGAAACCATTTTGTGACCAATTGGGATCAACCTGAAGTTGGGGCATGAGCGACTGGCTTAACTATTACAGGCGGGTGCAGGAATTGGAAGAGATTTTGACTTGCAGATTGACGTGGGACAAATTTTGGAAGTTGTCGTGCAGTTGAGACTGTGTGGGGACTGTCTGGGACATTGGGACCACGTAAAAACTCATTGGTGGGAACACCCTCATGACGAACTGTCTCGCTTGAGTTCTTTTGTGGCCCAATTTTTGCTTATTTGAGTACTTGAGAGAGGATATGGACCAACTTTTATGGAAAGACAATCACCTTCTTTTGATTGGGATATTACTCGATTTTTTTCAGCGAGTGATCCAAATTTCACTTAAGGTCAGTTGATTGACTCATATTTCCTTTCACACCTGTGTGAACCCACACTTTGCTTGACCCTGTTCGTTTTGAATGTTCGAAAAAGGTAGAGGAAAGTTGTGTGAATCATGCATGTGAATGAAAAAATTTGACTTGTGTATGGGGTTGCATTGATTTCCTTTGAACTTTGTTGTTTTGCTTTGAGTGCAGGTAGGTAGAATGATTACTAATGAGGTTGATTGTCTCTACATCGAATGATGGAAAAAATTATCTTTTTTTTAGTTACCACCTACCTGGTTGTCAAAAGGGCGTGTATTTTGAATGTGGTTAATCCAATGTGTATCGAAAAAGATTTGGATTTAAAAATAATAATAATAATAAATTGGGCATAGTCTTTTCCCAATGATTAACCGTTTATAGCTCGAATAACCTTATCTACCTATAACTGTCCAAATGATTCTCATTCTCTATCTCCTTCTGTTTATTTTCGTCCAAGCTACCACGAACTTAGGAGAAAAGATAACTATTGAAACCTACTTGTGGTAGATACGTTCTCTCTGTAGGAAGCATCTGGGCGGAGGTTCGTTGCTTTAGGAGTCGGCCCTGTTATCGACCCTGAGTGGATCGTTCTACGGGGAGGTACTCTGCTGATTCGGTGGAGACGGCCCAACTTCTAAGATCTGAGTCTTGTACTCGGACGAGGAGGAGGACTACCCAGACCACTTCCTAGACGGGTGAGACAGGTAAGACTTTGAGTAATTCACCTAGTTAAGAATCATTCGTAAAGCAGTCTATCATCCAAAAAGATTAAAAACGTATGGAGACAGGTGTGAATGAGCATAATCTTAGGCCGGCGCTAGAATTGAATGAATAACTTTGGCAGCGCGTCTCATCAACTCAAAACCGAGGCAGTCCGACTACCTTGTCGGTTGCATCGAAATTATTGTCGAAGTCAACTCCTTGTTGGCTGCTGTATGATTTTTTTATAGAGTTTGATCCAAGATGGTCGAGTTTTATTTTGATCTTGTGTATTGGATGTACCATATGAAGATTTATTTTTTTTCAGTTATGATTTCAGATTTAAGAAATATTCATATCGACTACGGTCGATTCCTCTGATGTAATTATGTGTGGTTGTTATAACTTTTGTTTTACTGTGTGTCTAAGAGACTATGATAAATTTTTGGCTTTCACGCCTAGTTGAGACCATCCTAGCCGACCGATGTCCGCTTCGTAGTTAGGAGATCACAAACACCCTAAGGGACATACGATGTTCGGGTCCGCTTGGAGTTAACCAAGCGTATTCATACTACAACGAACGAGCAAACACCCTCGGCTGATCTACCTCTGCGATTGCGTTCAAAAACTTTCGTATGAGGATCGGTAACTCGATAGGGATACGCCCCTAAGGGTGGTGACAACCCCTTAGGGAAGATAAGTTATGCCCCGCGGGAACTTATCTTGTCGTAGGAGACCGAAGGAAGTACAGTTGGTGCACTCGGTTAGAGCGGCGAAGGGACGACGCGACCACGACCGTCTCGACGATTCGCGGGATTATTTGCATCGTTGCTAAGTTGTCTCTTGATTTTGTTTCGTTTAACTCTTGTGTGATATTGCCGGGAGGGTTATCACCTTTGCGAAAAAGGAAGGAGTTGATGCGCCCGACAACGTAACCCCCGCTAGGTTTGTTGAAACCTTTGCCTATACTGTCAGACTACTGAGATTTATGAAGGTTATGAGTCCGAATACTAATAACCAAGTTGTGGTAGTCATTGATAAATTTAGTAAATTTGTTATTTTTATTTCGTTGCTGCCTGTAACCAAGATAAATTAAGTGTTTAGAAAATTATTCAATCATTGGGTAATGAATTATAGGAATACTAGGTTCACCGACGAACACTCACAATAGTTGATGAAAGTATGTGGATCTAAATTGACAATTTCGTCTTGTATACACTAAGAAATCAAAGGACAGACAAAGTAGATGAACAAGTTACTGCAGCAAGTGTTGCGTGTGTATATTAGGCTATATGAGATTGACTGGGTAAACATTATTTCTACAAGCCACATGTGTAGACCATTGAACCACGGGTACAATGCCCTAACCTTGTAGCAACACATTTCATCGCCGACTCGGAAGCATTGTTTACTAAAGTATACGCCGAATATTTCGGAGATAAAAAAGACATGGTAGTGCAACAAGGGGAAAAGTTGATGGTACCCTTCCTCACTTGTTTAAGCCTGAGTGAAAAATAAAATAGAATAAAAGTTTCACCTCATTCTCCGTTATCACTTTCAACAATGTATTTAACCACACTTACGACCGTCTCTGGATGAATATGAAACAATTACACTAAAGGTCTATAATATGTTTTTTTCTGTTTTTTTTTTTTTTTACAAAAAATAAAAATCTTAATTTTTTGAATGTGACTCATCATGAAAAGTGGGGAGCATTCAATTTTCCCTCATCCTTTTCCATTTATAAAAATTATCATGCTAATACTTTCAATAATGTATATGACCGCGCTTGTAACCTTTATTGGATGAATTTAAGCACAATCTCGTATATAGTTTAGACGGTTGTTTCACCCCTTCCAAAGAAAAACATAATTCTAATTCTTTTTATTGTGACCCCTCGTGAGAGGCAGAGAACAATCAATTACCTGCCAGCCGTTTCCATTACAATGTATTATTACAGTAACACTTTTCAGAATATATTTGATTGCACTTATGACCATCTTTGTATGAATCTGAAGGGCAAATCATATTCGAAACTTAGTGTTTTTTTTTTTTTTTTTTTTTAATTTTTTTAATGTGACTTCCCGTGAGAGAAAGGGAGCAATCGATCCCCGACCAGGTTCTTTAATTTCAGGGCATTCCCACACCAACATTTTCAAAATATATTTAACCGCACTTATGGTCTGCCCTGGATGAATTTGAAGGTAGTTACGTTCAAAGCTTAGTATCTCGACGTTTTTTTATGTGATTCCCCATGAGAGGTGGGGAGCAATCGATTTTTCATCGTGCCCTTTCATTTCAGGGCATTGTCATGCTAGCACTTATCAAAATGTTTGATTGCACTTCTGGCTAGGTCCAGGGTGACACACAAGTGAAAACAAGAACAAAACTGTTGTTTTAGCTGCTAGCAGCAGGTCCAACATGCAAGGAGGTACCGGTGCCAGCCAACAAATTTTCCCTAGTGGTTCCCACTGCCTCCAGGCTCAACAAAATTTAGCGTGCAGGGGACGGTCGATTCGATAAACAGCCTCGGGTGCACTAGTAGTTTAATGCTCCCCAACCTTACCCGGGCTCCTCAGTGTATGGATCTAGTCGTGTATACGCCGGATGTGAAAGGCAGTGTCTTATGACCTCTTTCAGCCAAGGTCTAACCTACGGTACCTCTTGAGCAATTCAGCTATACCCTCTTAGCATCACTGTTATGGATCGTTTTAGTTATCTTGTCAAACCACCAACAAACATCCCCATCCTTACTGAAAAAGTTTATTCCCTACTCCAAAAATTTTGCGCCTTGGGTCTACCGGATCACAATGGCTTTGCAGGCCCATTCAAAATCGAAAAAAAGTGCATTGCTGGTGGTTCAGCAAAGCTTGGCGCGCAGTGGAGCTTAGCCAACAACTACCATCTGGCCCCCTACCTTAGTCGTCCTTCTCCTGTTGCTTCACTTGTTGTACTACTGTTGACATGGTTGTTGTCGGCTGTTCGTAATCTGGAAGTACTCTAGCCTCAGTCATCAGTACGTACGTGGCCACCGTCCCTAGCCTTACATCAGTCATTAGCAGGCTTGTTGTAGCTGTATCTGTCCAGTCATCAGTACGTACGTGGCCACCGTCCCTAGCCTTACATCAGTCATTAGCAGGCTTGTTGCAGCTGTATCTGTCCTCACCCAGAGCAGCTCCAGTCTCGTTCATCCGCAGCTACATGGCACAACTCCCATATACCTCCATCATCAACTAGGCCCACTCTGGTCTATCTGTCATGGGATGACCGCCCCCCCCCTCTCTTTGACCATCCCATCTGCAGCCCTAGCCCCCTAAAGCAAGGCCCATAGGTAACCAATTGCGTCCTCATCGAGTCCACGGTAAGCCTACCGGCCCATCGCTGCGCGCACCCCAGTTATATCTGTATTATGTGATGCACACAGGGCAATCAGAATTCAACCCTCCCCCTTACAGCACCCTACTGAGCTACTGCACTGACTGATCAGTCTATGTGGTGTGCCAGGGAGGCCCCACAGCGCACTACACGGCATAGGCTGGGGCACAAGTATGTGCGGTGCCAACCTAGCACCAACTGATCGTGCACAGGGGATGTTGAGGGCCTACGGAATCGAGCCCGCGACATCCGTCTTGCAACGCGAGATCGCTAACGTACGGCGCCACGCTTGTCCCATCACCAAACTGACTTGGCCCGTGTATTTTACGGTCTTCGGATTCGAGCTCAGGTCGACTTATTAACAGTTAACGAGTGTACCGTTCAGTCACATCGGCTGGGTCTGACACGACACGCGATTTGAGCTTTCATGCGGAGCAAGGGGGTAGTCGGCAGTTCGAAGGTGGCAGCAGACGTTCTGGCGGGAAGTTGGTGCCCCGGGAGACTTCAGTTTCTTCACCGAAACGCGAAACGCAGCGACCGTGTGCTCGCCTTTGCACGTGTCACGTCCACATTAAAGTGCAACGGTATTCGGGTCACGTTGCTTTGGAAGAAGATTGGAGGGGCGCCGTGAGTGGGTTCCTTCGTGTCAAGAAGGTGAGGTGAGCAATCAGCAGAGACGATCGATGGGCAGAGCGAAAGACAAGGATGGTGGCGATGGCGGTCAGTCCGGAGGAAAAGCCGCTGTGAAGGTAAGTAAAGGAGCTCCTAACAAATGTTAAACAGTTAATGGAGATGAAAGAGGAGTAATTATGTTCGTAAAACACGCTGGCATACATGTGCATGCTCACGCGCCCGGCATGTGCGGAAGGAGACGGTTTGCCTCCCGTCTAGTGCGCAAGTGCTCATGCTGCGTGCCCTTTTTTTTTTTTTTTTTTTTTTTTTTTTTTTTTTTTTTTTTTTCTTTGGGAATACTGCTAATCATCTCTCCGTCGGAAGAGGCGGAGGGATCGATTAGGCACCTTCGGGAGGTGGGGATGGGTGGCGAGGGTGCGGAGAGCCTCAAAGAGACGGTAATCAAAGGAGCACTTCATGAGCAGGGGAGGAGCGCTGRTCTGGTAACCTGTTATTGTTGCGGACCGGAGGTGTGGATTTCGGCTATGGCGGCAAGGAGGGCGGGAAAGGGGGAGGAATTCGACAAGGAAGGAAATGGACGATGGTTCCTCAGATTAGGAGTAGGAGACGATTCGAAGCGGGGAACTCTCAAGCCTGGGCCGGTGGATATCGACGAGATGGACTTCTCTGCAGGAGAAGAAGAACCTGAAGGAAGCGAGGGAGAAAATGAAGAGGAAGTGGGGCGCTACTTAGAAGTGTAACTGACTAGTTCGGGAACCAAGGCCGGGGTCAGTTCAAGAAGGGAGTGGGGACGTTTCATAATCTTAGTCGAATTTAAGTAAATTCGGGTAGTTGATCACTTCGTTGTTTCGGCTGACGGATCGTATTTGAATCTGAAACACGGCCCTAAATGGTTTTTCTTCCCGACCTTAGTCTGGAACCATGAATTGCCTTGAACATCTAGGAGTCAAAACCTGGGAAGAACGATGGACTCGATCTAATTAGTCATTCGGAAGGCGTGTTGGGGCAAATGAGTTGAAATTCAGTGCTTTGATAAATTCCGGGCTTGGTCCGCACGGAGTGTTACGAAAAGGAAGGACCCTGGTGCTCCAACGTGGAAACGTCGTGCGAAGTTTGCAACGAGCAGCATGGGAACGGAGAGTGTGGAGCAGGGAAGTGGAGAGCGT